TGGAGCCAAGCCTATGGCTAATGAACCTCCTGTCAAAAAATAAAACATTTCAATGTCATTCCCTTTCAAGTGAAGACCTTCGCCATGACCTCTTTTAACAAAGCTGCAAACACCATTACTGAAATATTCGAGGTCCGACGATTTCTATAATATTTCGAGAAGCTTTAAATATTTCTTGATCCATGTTGTTATTATTATTATAGTTGACGTTGATGTTATTTTGTATTTTTAATTCAATTGAACTATCGTCGGTTTTTCCGATTTGTAATAATAATCGTTTCACGAGATATCTGGATAAATTCACGTTTTCTTTGATAAGAAGATCAACTAATTCTAATGATATAAAGTTATTATAGCGAATCGCGTAAAAAAACGAATGTGCTTTGCCATGTTTTTTAATGATCCAGTTTGCTCTTACTTTGTGATCTTTTGATATTTCATACCATGATTTATCAGTTAAAATGAGCGAAAATGGGAATTTTGTATTTATAAATATTAATTTTTTTATTTCTTCATTCATTTTTTTTCTCTCAATTGAGAGAAAAAAAAATAGACCGTTTATATAAATACCATCTAAACTCGATAAATCGAACATTTATTTATATTATAAAGTACTTTAAACAATTTGATTGCTGCATCCGACTTATCGAGTTTATATGTGTATGCAAATAATGATTTTAATTTATTAATTAATACTAAATGATATCATCAAAATATGGAAAAATGAACATTGACCCATTTTTTATTATAAACAAATAATAATAGTAATGATACATTAAGGGGTTAAGGAATATCAGTTTTACCACGGATTGTTCATACAATTGGAAAAGGATCCTTTTGTCATAATTCAATAAAAATGGCACTAGTTTATCGTTAGCAAGTGTCTATTCGCCACTACTACCTTTTTTTTGTTGTAGACTTTTTGAAAAACGTATAGAATCTGAATACAACAATTTCAATAAACTCCTCGCCAACTTGATTCTTCAATGTCAAACTATAAATCGAGTCGTGTCCCAAACAGAGGGATCATATAATTTAATAATTTATATTTATCATTTATAACTTTATAATCATAAAAAGAAAAATAAGAACAGGAACTATATATCCAAAAAACTGTTAAATATAAAATCGAGATCGGAGTTTTTTTATTTATTGTATAAATTTAGCCAATTTTAGAATATAAAAAAAGATTATTGTACAAAATTAGAAACTTCTTATTTTAATGTATATATACTATTTATGGATTGCGTCTAGCCGCGCCTGGTCTTTTCGGTTTTTGGCGCGATCAACGTTTTCACCATATTTAGAAAAAATTGTGTCGTACGGCAAATATTTTTTAAACCTAATTTTTTGGGAAGGAATTTTTGCTTTTGCTTCTGAAAAAAAATTTGATCTACTTAATTTTTATTGCGAAAAAAAAAAAAATACAAAGAATAATAAAAATTATTCAGTGTCACAACCCCCATCACCGTCGTCGTTTACCACTCATTATTATCATCATCATTTTCAATGTTGCGTGATTTTTCTACTGCATCCGTATAACCTTTATTGTTTCTGACAACTTCGTTCATTGTATGTGTCAGTTTTAATGATACCTAACGAAATGTTTTTGTAGGCGGGAAATTATTTCGTCAAATCATTGTTAATTTCGTCACATTTGGTGAAATGATAAAATGTGGTAAATTGACGAAATGTGACGAAAAGAGGAAAATGTGACGAAAAGGGGAAATGTGACGAAAAGGAGATATTATAAACAATTCTAAAAATTATAATAATTACAAGAACTTGAAATAAAACTTTTTTCTGTTGTTCCACATAGTGCTGGCTGCGAGCGAAATTTTTCAAATTTATGTTGGTTATATAGTACAAGAAGGCATAATTTCAATTTAGAAAAAGTAGAAGATATGTCAAAAATCTATAGTTATTACCTTGCACAAACTAAAAAAGAAATTCAATATTATGGGCAAAAATTATCAGAAGAAGAGCTTAAAAAATTAATAAATGATATAGGACTTATTTCTGATGATGGTGATGATGATGATGATGATACAGTAAATGATTTTTCTGGTGAAGATGAAGAGGTATTAAATAATATACAGAACCAATTTCTGGATATATGTGAAATCATGGATTTAAATAATGAAGTATTTTGTGATAGTAATGCTGAATCTTCAGTTGAAACTAATCAAGATGAATCAATTTACGAATTTTCTGATAATAATTATGATCCAATAGATTTAGTAAAAGATACCTTTGTTGAAGAAGATGAATTTGAAAGTGAACATAATTCAGAAAATAGTTATTTCCATGATCATTGCGAAGTTAAGGAAACTGATAGAAATAATTATTTAGAACGAGATGTTATGATATTGATAACAATTCTGGAAATAATACAAATGAAAATGATGATGATGATAATAATTCTCAAAAATTAGTTAGAAAAAATACAAACTAGAAGAAACATAATTTACGTAGCTCATCCAAATTTGACTCGGACAAAAGAGTAAAAAAATAAAAAAATTATTAAATTTTCTTTTTATATTTTAAATTTTAAATTATTATTGCAGATTATTACAAAAATTTCTTTATGAAAATGGTTATTTTTTCTCTCTTGCCAATTTTTTCTTTTCGTCAACTTTTCCTCTTTTTCCTTTTCGTCAATATGCTCTTCGCGGTAAATTACATTTCGTCATGTAACATTTCGTCAGTTGACTAAATGTCGATCATTTCGTCAGGTATCATTATGTACATTCGAAGTAGTTCTCTCGAATAAAATAATAGTTATTAATAACAAGTTTCGACTTGATAAACTCGTATCAAATTAATTCCTAAACCATTCATTGGTAAGGGATTATTCAAACTTTTACTAATTTTAATGGGCAAAAAAACTTCTCACAAACCTGTTTCAAAACTAGATTTTTATTAGGCGTTAATAATTATTAATATTAATAATAATATATTCATACTAATATTGGAACGACGATAATTTTGTCCCCTCGAGCAGTCTAACGCATTAAAACACAAATTGACAATTTCCAAAGCAAATCGTCAAAATAGCTTTTGGCGAGAAACTATCTTTAGCCAATATTTTACCACCCAATACTAAGTCAAAGTTTCGACATACATTATTAACTACGATCATATTTAACAACGAATTTTTATTAATAGTTATTTATCAGATTTTTTTGATAATAAATATGGATGGTTAAGAATTACTTTTCAATTACAAAAAAAAATAAGAAACAAAATTTATTTATTTCGTGGCGGATTAAGAATTACATTAAAATTAGAAGCACAATTATGAGCAAGTGGAAAAGCCTTCGATATTATATTAAATCATCTAATTTCTGTACAAATGTTTAAAATTGGCTAATAAATCTTGAATCCGCAGCTTATTTAGTACGACGTTATCATTTTCAGAAATCATATCTTTGATAATTTTTTTCACATCCAACCATCGTCTTCAAAACTTGGTAAATTTGTTTTAATGATAGTGTATATATTCAAAAACACCTTTATCAAAAATAACCGATTGCGGAAATCTTCCCATTTGTAACAAATAGGAATACGAATAATTATTATTAGTATATAAAAAAAACCCATCGAATTTGACTTTAATATTATTAATATTATATTCTATATATACTTTTTAATGATATGTATGTCAAACCCACCAATAAAAATTTAAAAAAAGTAAATGTAGCGTAGGTTTTGATTTCTTTAAAAAAAAATGTGGATCAATACCCACAATTTAAAAAAAATGTTTCAGTAAATGTTTCGTAAATTTTCATATTAATAAATAAATATTGTTCGATTCAATAAATATTTATATTTAAATAATAAATATGCCAAAAGAAATTAAACAAAAAACTAAACTTGTCGAAAAAGAGAAGTTTTTATTCTTTTGTTATTTCTTTTGTTTTAATAATACTAATTCATGAATATTGAAATCATAAAGGAAAAAAATCAGCATCAAGATTTTGATAAAAGCAAATAAAATTAATAATTATAAAAGCATTAAAAATGATACTTTTAAGGATAAAACCATTACTTAAACGTATGTTAGATAATGTTAATGAAATTATATCATGAAATTTCATAACAAGAATCCAAAAGAAGAATTTGAAAATTTTATTTGTAATTTAATTTAAATAATGAATATTATTACACCAGCTAAAGTCGTATTTCCTTCCTTTTCTACCAAATTTCAGATTTTTCATCTGCGTTAAATATAATTTCGATGTAACAGAACTTCATTGCCTTTTTTTTTTTGATACAAATGAGAAAAAATAAACGTATGAGATTACAAATGCATACTAATTCAAGTTTAATCCTGCATTAGTCAAATTGGAAAACAAACATTTTATTTATAAATTTTTCCCAGTGAGATACATTTTCAATTTAAAAAATGACCTTTAGGATTGATTCTGGATTTTGTAGAATGCAAAATGATATTTAAAATAAAAAACAAAAAAAAAAAGAGAAACACTTTATGAAATAATACAACGGTTTGCCTCTAAATCATTTATGGACTTTTGTACAAGTGCATAAATGGATAGGCTAATGATCTTTATACTTTGATTCTATTCTACGACTTGGTGATGATGATACATATACTTACTTTTATTTATTTTTTTCTTATAATTTATAGGCATTCGGTATTGATTAAATCGGTGATTTTTCTACATTTGTGAATGCAAAGTAAATATATTAAAAATTCACTAAATAAATAGTTGGCGAATTTGAAGGTGTTATTAGTTAGTTTTAATTATGAGGCTTGAATTCTAATTCCCTTTATAAGTAGAAGAAAAAACAAACAATTTTACGAAACGATCACAGGTTTTCACTTGTCATTATTCAAGGTAAAAAAAATATTTTAAAGGTTCGAAAGTATTGTCAGCAGTTTGGTTCGTGTGATGTGCTTTTTTTTCCATTAAAAAATTACAATTAAATTAGTTAAATTTGAAAAGATGCCTATTTTTATACAGTATTTGTATTTATTATTTTGTTATGGCGAAATTCAATAGAAACTTGCATTGGTTTTTTAAATCGAAATATTCTTGGCGAAATTGTAAATCTGGAAGACCACCAGAAGTTGTATAACAACATTTGTCTTTTTTAAAAAAATTATTAAAATACTTTTTTATTTGCCTTGTTAGGAAAAATCATACTACTTTTTAAAAGATAAACTTTTAATTTCGATTTCGATTTCATGTTATGACCAATTTTATACTTATTTGTAATGTATCTTTATGATTGATCTGTTTTCTTGAATAAGATCGGTTTTCACTAATAATTCATTACTAATTATTCAATATATAACGAATTCTAAGATTTATGTACATTCGAAGTAGTTCTCTCGAATAAAATAATAGTTATTAATAGAGATGTGCCATTCATAGTAACCCTGATTTTTTTTCGCGCACATAATGCATATAGTGTATTAGTATTATCCCTTAAACGGTTTTTCGGCTATTGATAGCCGAAATTTTTTTTCTGTTATAAAAAACTTTTTCTGAAGGTATTACTTC